GTCGGCGGCAGGGGAGGCAGCCCTTAATTCGGCTCCGCCGGCTCCCCACGAGTGGCTTGCCCCACGAGCGTCCCAGAGCGACTAGAGCTCTAAGGTGAGGCGCGCCCCCAACCGCCGACCCTCCGACGCCGGGCCCCGAAAAACACCAAAAATCCTTCAGGAGGGTGGGGGAGAGCTTTTTGGCCGGGATCCGGGTCGCTCATAAGCGTCTCCAAGAGCATTCCCCCCCCCCGTTTTGAGGGTACCTAAAATCGGGAAAAAGCGCCGTTTTGACACATTTTTCGGACGATTTTTCGCTTTTCGAAAGTCACAAAATGCTGTAAATTACAGCATTTTTGCGTTTTAACATCTTTTGCGGGAGCCATGCAAAAACGCAGAAAATGCTGTAAATACCAATACTTTTTGGACCCAAGATGCACAAAACACCGCAAATACCAGTGTTTTTGAAAGCCAAGCAAAAAAACACTGTAAATTACAGCATTTTTGCGTGTTGATCGCAAAAACTGCTGGTATTCACAGTGTTTTTGCAATTTCAAGAAAACGTGGAAGGCACGAAACACTGTAAATAGCGGTGTTTTGGCCACTTTTGGACGCCAAAACGCTGGTATTTACGCAGTTTTTTGCCCGTGGCGGCGCCAAACCCCTGTAAATTACAGCATTTTCTTCCCTTTCTGAACCGATTTTTTGCCTTGATGAACGGGAAAAAACGCTGGTATTTACGCGTTTCCCAAAAAATCGAAGATCGTGACGTGAACGAAACCCTGTAAATAACAGTGTTTTAGCCACTTTCGGGGACTAAAACTGTGGTATTTACGCGGGTTCTCGCCATCTGACAGCGCAAAATGCTGTAAATTACAACACTTTGTGCGCTGTTTATGTTCAATTTTTTTAACTGCGATGCTTTCACCTGTTCTTTGCCTTCTTCCACAAGAAACAATGTTGCAGATTGAAACTGGAAACAATGTTGCAGATTGAAACTGGACGACAGCGTGACCCGAAAGAAAGCTGGAGGGAGGAGTCGCACAGAAGCTTTTACACACACAGGGGCTTTTACACAAAGAAGTCTTTACACAAAGGAGCTTTTTACGCACAGAAGGTTTTACACAGCGAAGTCTTTACTCTAAGGAGCTTTTGCACACAAACGTCTAGGAGCCTTTACACACAGAAGCTTTTACACGAAGAAGTCTTTACACAGAGGGGTTTTTACACACAGACGCGTTTGCACACAGAAGCTTATTTTACACAGAGAAGCCTTCAAACAGAGGAGCTTTTACACACAAAAGCATTTACACACAGCAGGCTTTTACACACACAGGGGCTTTTACACAGAGAAGTCTTTACACAAAGGAGCTTTTTACACACAGAAGGTTTTACACAGAGAAGTCTTTACTCTAGGGAGCTTTTGCACACAAATATCTAGGTGCTTTTTCACACAGAAGTTTTTACGCGAAGACGTCTTTACACAGAGGGGTTTTTACACACAGACGCATTTGCACACAGAAGCTTTTACACAGAGAAGCCTTTACACAGAGGAGCTTTTACACAAAAGCATTTGCACACAGCAAGCTTTTACACACACAGGGGCTTTTACACAGAGAAGTCTTTACACAAAGGGCTTTTTACACACGGAAGCTTTTACACAGAGAAGTCTTTACTCTAAGGGGCTTTTTACACACAGACGCGTTTGCACACAGAAGCTTTTACACAGAGAAGCCTTCACACAGAGGAGCTTTTACACACAAAAGCGTTTACACACAGCAAGCTTTTACACACACAGGGGCTTTTACACAGAGAAGTCCTTACACAAAGGAGCTTTTTACACACAGAAGATTTTACACAGAGAAGTCTTTACTCCAAGGAGCTTTTGCACACAAACGTCTAGGAGCTTTTTCACACAGAACTTTTTACTCGAAGACGTCTTTACACAGAGGGGTTTTTACACACAGACGCATTTACACACAGAAGCTTTTACACAGAGAAGCCTTTACACAGAGGAGCTTTTACACACAAAAGCATTTACACACAGCAGGCTTTTACACACACAGGGGCTTTTACACAGAGAAGTCTATACACAAAGGAGCTTTTTACACACGGGAGCCTTTTGGAAGCAAATTTCGGCCTTTTGGCGGCCCCTCGGCCGGCTATTGAATTTCTCTTCTGCGATCATTGGGAAACGGCCGTTTTTGGCCAAATCCTGGCCGGGAGCCTTTTGGAAGCAAATTTCTGCCATTTGGCGGTCCCTCGGCCGGCTATTGAGTTTCTCTTCTGGGATCATTGGGAAACGGCCGGTTTTGGCCAAATCCTGGCCGGGAGCCTTTTGGAAGCAAATTTCTGCCATTTGGCGGCCCCTCGGCCGGCTATTGAATTTCTCTTCTGGGATCATTGGGAAACGGCCGTTTTTGGCCAAATCCTGGCCGGGAGGGGAGCCTTTTGGAAGCAAATTTCTGCCATTTGGGGGTCCCTCGGCCGGCTATTGAATTTCTCTTCTGGGATCATTGGGAAACGGCCGTTTTTGCCCAAATCCTGGCCGGGAGCCTTCTGGAAGCAAATTTCTGCCATTTGGCGGCCCCTCGGCCGGCTATTGAATTTCTCTTCTGGGATCATTGGGAAACGGCCGTTTTTGGCCAAATCCTGGCCGGGAGCCTTTTGGAAGCAAATTTCTGCCATTTGGCGGCCCCTCGGCCGGCTATTGAATTTCTCTTCTGGGATCATTGGGAAACGGCCGTTTTTGCCAAAACCTGGCCGCAAGGTTTTACACAGAGAAGTCTTTACTCTAAGGAGCTTTTGCACACAAACGTCTAGGAGCCTTTGCACACAGAAGCTGTTCCACGAAGAAGTCTTTACACAGATATATAGCTTTCATTCACAGACGCGTTTACACACAGAATCTTTTACACAGAGAAGCGTTTACACAGAGAATTTTACACAGTGAAATCTTTACACAGGCGCGCTTTCACACAGAGAAGCTTTCACACACAGAAGCTTTTACACAAAGAAGTCTTTACACAAAGTGGTTTTTACACACAGCAACTTTTACACGCAAAAGCTTTTACACAGAGAAGCCTTCAGCCAGAGGAGCTTATACACACAAAAGCGTTTACACACAGCAAGCTTTTACACACACAGGGGCTTTTACACAAAGAAGTCCTTACACAAAGGAGCTTTTTACACACAGAAGGTTTTACACAGAGAAGTCTTTACCCTAAGGAGCTTTTGCACACAAACGTCTAGGAGCTTTTTCGCACAAAACTTTTTACACGAAGAAGGCCTGACAGAGAGGGTTTTTACACACAGACGTGTTTGCACACAGAAGCTTTTTTTACACAGAGAAGCCTTTACACAGAGGAGCTTTTACACACAAAAGCATTTACACACACAGGGGCTTTTACACAGAGAAGTCTTTACACAAAGGAGCTTTTTACACACAGAAGGTTTTACACAGAGAAGTCTTTACTCCAAGGAGCTTTTGCACACAAACGTCTAGGAGCCTTTACACACAGAAGCTGTTACACAAAGAAGTCTTTACACAGATATATAGCTTTCACACACAGACGCGTTTACACACAGAGGCTTTTACACAGAGAAGCCTTTACACTTTACACAGAGAGTTTTTACACACCGAAGCTTTTACACACAGTGAAATCTTTACACAGACATTTCACACAGAGAAGCTTTCACACATAGAAGCTTTTACACAAAGAAGTCTTTACACAAAGTGGTTTTTACACACAGAAACTTTTACACACAAAAGCTTTTACACAGAGAAGTCTTTGCACAGAGGCGTCTTGACATGAAGTCACAAGTTGAAATTGGCAGCAGTTCTTCGGGAAAAACCCTTGGCAGGAGCTTTCGGGCACTCACTTGCTCCCCAAAAAAGCCGTCTATTTCCAACAAAGTTCCTGTTCTTTTTTTTTCAAAAAACGTGAGGAATATATTTCTGAAGCAGGTCCCCATCCAAAAGCTTTCCAGCCCCCACACTGCGATGAAATGGAGGGCCGAGAAATCCGGCGGAGCCGACGAGGGGCGTTAGCCCTTAAATCCGGCCAGGGGCCCCCTGGCCGTGGCATAGCCGAAGGCGGTTCTCTCCTCTCCGTAGGAGAGAGGGGCCGCCGCCCCAGCCGCAGACCACCGCGTGTCGCCAAAAACTGTCGCGTTTTACGGTGTTTTGTGCTCGTCGCATTTTTTCCCATTTTTCGGATCTTGTGGTTTAAGATGGGTCAACATGGGCCAAGATAGGCCTCAAGATGGGCCAACATAGGCCTCAAGATGGGCCAAGATAGCCCCAAGATGGGCCAACATAGCCCCAAGATGAGCCAACATAGCCCCAAGATGGGCCAACATAGGCCTCAAGATGGGCCAACATAGGCCTCAAGATGGGCCAACATAGCCCCAAGATAGGCCGCCGACCCTCAAAATATCCTGCGTTTTACAGTGTTTTTTTGCTGTTCCCATTTTTCGGATCTTTTGGCTCAACATGAATCAACATGAGGCCAACATAGGCCAACATGGCCACAAGATGGGCCCACATTGCCCGCAAGATAGGCCAACATACGCCAACATAGGCCAACATAGCCACACAATGGGCCTACATAGTTGGGCCCCTGGCCGGCTGTCGCGCGTAAGCGCTTAAATATACATTAACACATAATATACATATCCAACTCATAATATACATATCTAACACATTGTGAGGTGTTGTGACCCCCCCAATGATATCGCAATGCCTGAGTTTTGATTGAAATACACAGTACCAAAGTGAGTTCTGCCATGGACTCTAGAACCAGTGGAATAATAATCTTGTCTTGACATGGCTGGATTTGACTCGCACTGATCTCACGGTTGTAGAACAGATGAACAACACATAGCGTCAGCCCAATTCCAACTTACTGATCTCTTTTCACCTCTCCTTGCACATCTTACACATTTCTTACAGACTTCCGTCTTATAGTCAACCAAGTAGTACCTTAATATCCTTAATTAAGTGGCTGAACATGGTTTTTCTATGTGTTTTTCTTCGTGGCTTTAAAACGTTGAAGAAACGGCCGAGGCTCCACCACCTCTTCAACCTCTTCTGGTGCTTCGTCATCCTTGAGAAGGACGCAGAAGTGTTGTAAAAATTGGGGCATCTGAACCTGAAACATCCTGAAGATGAAAGAAGATCAGAATTTGAAGAACTTCAGACATGGCAACTTTAGACACTGGGAAAGGGATGAACTGAGTAGATTTCGGACAGGCAACTGATATCTGAACATATCTGAACACTTGAATGAGAATGTAGATCTCTGACAAAGTGGACAACATAGACTCGAAGAATATCTACATTGGAACTACATTGGACAAACTCTCTACATTGTTGCAAAACTCGGAAGAAACGAGCCAGCTTTCTGACACAGGAACCCCTGACCAAAATCTCCATCCTCCTCCAATCCAATGTTTGCTCCGCTTGCTTCGTTTGCTCCAGCTCCCGCAGCGGCAATGCTTCCGCCGGTGGCTTGTGCGAAATTCACCAGCAAGGATCGCTGACCGCGCTCGTAGCGCCAGGGTGCCAAACGAGGAGGTAAGATCCTTGGAAGACTCTGTGTCCGGCAGGACTCAAGTGACAGTGTCAAACCACGCATGAGACAGCCAATTTTTGTACTAGTTGTTTTTTCTTCCGTCTGAAACATAGCCCAGGAGGACAACAATTCACAATGGCAACACCTCTGCGATCTTGTAGACATACTTAGGTGATTAAGGGTGGTTCTCATGTTGGCCTGTTTCTACGATCCGTGATCCAAACAAAACAAACAAAACAAACAAGTGTGCATTTGATTTTTTCTACCGGCTGGTGACACCAGAGCACGATACTTGCACGGTGCGAAACTATGGAACGGAAATCTACTTTGAAGGAAAACATCAGAGCAAGGGCAGGGGCTTTGGCACATCAGGAACACTCCACAAGCAAAGCACATGAATTTCCACTGGGTCATACTGGATCTAGATGCTCGGACAGTAAGAGTTTGTATGTATAAATATATACACAATATAATTATATGCATCTTTGTTTTCCGAAGATAAAAGGTCTCTTTGTCATCATTTTTGCCCAAAAACGGCTACAAAACAACGCATGCCAAAGCAACTCACGAATTCGCATCCAAAGCGATCCCAACACGCCTTCACACCCTCAAGTTCCCCCGCCCTGTTGTGAAGCACATTGCAATGATCCGAGCCACACCAATGCAGCACGACAGGCGACGGCCACCCGCAACTTGCGCAGATTCGAGGAGCCGAAGTCATCTGATGACCCGCTGGGACCGTCTAAGACCAGCCTGCAAAGTGAGGGTCACATCGCTGCATCGTCACTTTTCAAAAGATTCCAACCAGGTTCCAACATGTTCCAAGCATCCAATCCATCAAGGTTTAGATGCAAAAACAATAAAACTGTCAGCTCTACAGCTACCATCTCCTGTCACTCGCCTCAGGACTTGCGTCCAAAGACCGCTCATCACGGAACGCGGTGCCAGCTTCAGAGTTTGGTTCCATGCCTGCAAGGCGCCTGACTTCACAAAGGCCTGGAGAGAGAGACCAGAGCAGAACTACCAGGACTCCTCATGAAGTTTTCTTGTAGACTTCATGAAGATCCATGAAGTAAAATTGAAACACCACTTTAATATCCTGTACTGGCAAATCGTTGGATGTTGGGACCGCGAGTTCACATCCTTTTTTCCTTGGTTCCAATCACCCTTGGATACTACACATCTTGGCTTCGGCAAAGCTTGACAGTGGAAGATGGCCAGCCTGGGCCGTGACGGATTTCGTTTGATCCACCCATGCGTCTCTTGTCCATGTGACGAAGGATTGCAAGAGCCCTGTACCGCTGACATCTGGTCGACCAAAGAACTTCGCCAACCTTGAGCAATGATTTGTCGACAGGGCTCCAAAGGCTGAAATCCGGAACAAAGATGTCCAAACGAGTCAGGAAATACAAAATGCGGTGATTCTATCATTCCTGTCCACAGCGGGTCAATCATTTCATGGTGATGCCAACTCTGGAAAATGATACCACAGTGCGACTGGAATCTCCATGAGTCTGTTCATTGGAACATCTCGTACCTCATCTTCGAAATAGTAAAAATAGAAACATGTAAATACATATAGACACATATAACAGATATAGATTATAGACCCATCTATCTGTTCTATTCTGTAATATGCAATATAATCTAATGTATCCAATGTATCTAAACCATGAAGTCTTTCTAACCTATCTAAACTATCCAATCTATCTAACCTATGTAATCTATCAGTCTATCAAATCTATCAAATCAAGCCTGATCTCACCTCATCCAATCTGACTTGATCTGCATTCTGTATGCATTCTATGTTTTTATATGGAACGCCCAGTGGCATCCAAGCGGAGGCATCCCGTGTGCGCGAGGTGCTGCGCAACCCTTGCAAGGCCAGGGAAAAAATGCGATCACCTTGCAGCACCCGGTGCCGAGTACCGCTGGGTACCGTTCTTACACCCAGAGGGGCCTGCGAAGCCTACGAAGTGTCAGTCCCATATCTAGAAGTGATTCATGCCGATTCATGGCCTCATCATATCTAGAAGTGATACTGTGTTACCTGATATTTTTGCCCACCAAACCATGCTAAACCTGTTCTATCCGTATCTTCCTCTATGACATAGGTGCATACACTCCCTCGTACTCCAGTCTGCTGCTTTACCAGTCTGGGAATACAAACCAGCACTATTGGCATGCTCTGGGAGTTCCTGTTCTCAGCAACATGAAAGGAACCGATGTGAACCAAATGGAAAATGGTTGAACGCGCTTGGAATATTAATTCAAAGCGGCAGCTAGCACGAGTCACCTAGACAAGCTTCAAGCTTTGTCAAAGGGTACGATTTCAAGCTCTGTATCAATATCAAGCGATATATCCAATTCCGTAAGCGTCGAACTCTGCAGCAACTTCAGCTCATCAACTCTACCAAGCGGCTGAGAGAATTTCTGGACTCATGACCGGAGTCGATGGTGGACAAATCAAACGGCGTCAAAAGCACCTAAGTGACACTAGTCTGACAAGACAAGATGATGTCCTGATATCAGAAAATGTAAAGATCTTGCAGGCACCGTTTTCTGGGCAATTTCATGGAAATTGGAGTGCTTATTAGGCCTGCTAGTTGGAAGCACCTGAAATTTCCCGCAAAACTTGTCGAACACTTGCAGAGGAGGAGTCAAATTAGGTCCCTGAAGTCTCTGATGGGCTTTTGTACTACTTGAGAACCTTAGCACGTATGGAGGTAGTTCAACAGGCTTTCAAGCTGATTGCGTGTCATGATTGTGTTGTCAAATGAACAATTTACCCTCCAAGTGCCACATGCAACAAAAGCACAGCAGAATGTGATGACGGGACAGCAAGTTATCTAATCCATCCATTATCTATCTACTCTTGCCTTCCCATCTACCATGTCCATACATTTGTCTACCAATTTATCTGTCCTTGCCCAACTGCCTGGCTTCGATGCATTGTCCAAGACTGCGAAATTCCCTTGATGGGCTCATGGTGAATAGTTGTGGATAGATCATTTTCATATAGTACATATATTTTCATCATTTTCTTATGTCTCATTTGTCTCGCCTCAAAGGCTCCAGGGGCCACCTAGACCCCGAAAAATCTTGGCTTGGCTTTGTGAAGATTCAAACATATTCTGAGGCGGGACATGCCAGGGTGCCATGCCCAACCAAAGAGTGAGGCAATACCTTGGCCGGATGATCATGTATCTGATGCATCTGGTGCGTCTGATACATCTGTTTTCCAAGAATCGTTCTCTTTGAATATGGCTACTGCATCATAAGGTGCAGCATCATGTATGTCATACATGCATGTCATACATGCATGCAGCATGTAGCGAGCTTCTGTTTCCACTATGGTAGCCACAGTACAGTATACATATGGATCTCAGAATCTCAGTGTTTCTGATTCCGTGACTGACAACAGCCGCCTTCATTGTCTGCTTCCGGTTGAATGACTTGAATGACTAGAATGACTTGAATCGGACATGCAAGTGTAGAAGAATGTTTCCAGATGTTTCCAGATGTTTCCAGTGTGAAACACACTGGGCCTGAAAAAACTGACCCTGGGCCCCTGAGCTCTTCAGATGTCGAGGGAGTCCGTGCAAACTTTTGACTCTGACGTGCCACAGCTGAAAAGGAAGGTCGTGGATTTCACGATGATTGTCATGAGTTCAACATTGGATAAATTTAAGATACTTTCAGACTCCCTGAAAATCCTTGATGCCTTGGCTACATACTTTTGGTACCCACCAATTAGATACTAGATACATCATGATACATCTAGATACCGTGTTGTTTTTCGGGCAAGCAACAAGGTCGACCAGGTCTCCAAGTTTTCCTTCTTCGCCTCCTCCTCTGCGGCTTCCAAACAGGGCTCCAGGTCAGCAGCTTCGTGGGGGAAGAGCCGCACCACGGTTTTATAACCTGCAACGATCAAGGCGATCAAGGCCATTCAAGACCCGTTCGTCGTCACGAGTTGATCAACTCGGATCAAGTTGACATATGCTGCAAGGAGGTCGGTCCAAGGAGGTCAGTCCAAGGATGTCCCCAGCCTCTCACCGTTGTCAGCAAATACATCAATGAACTTAGCAAATGCAAATTCGGATTTTCCTTAGTACTTCATCGGCTGTTTCGTTCTTTTGATCCACCAAACAAGCAATGATTGAAGCGCCATCCAACAGATTCTAGGTGCGAGCTTTGCATTACCATATGTAGAGTAATTAAGATGTGTTCCATCTCGATCCTCTGCGGAACCCCTGTGGAATGGGGGTCCTGATTTGCGTTTCCACACATGATCAAAGGGTGGTCTAAGAGTCTAAGATGTGGAGTCACTCAACACCAATCCCTAAGGATCCATGTATGGAATATTTACCTACATTGGGATTATTTTAAATTACTTTAGGGGTCAATGTAGGTAAATATTCCATACATGGATCCTCTGGGAATACTCCAGAAGTCTCCAGAAATATTAAAACGATCTTTCATGCCGAGCTGCAAGATCTTTCTGCCGCACTTTGGCGGCAATGGTTGCCATCAATGGCTCAACCATTTCTTCCATGAAGGGATCCAGCAGTGCCGGCTGTTCCTATCGCAAGCTGTTGGGCTTGGAATGACTGCTCGGGATGAAACCTCCTGCCGTGAAGCACTGAGGCAATTCAACTTCTGGCCGTAAACCAGAATGGACTTAGAATGGACCAGAACCGACATCAATTCCACATTGAAATTCACATGTTGGACTCAACTCACAGAATTTTCTCATTTGCCCCCTTGGGCACTGCCCGTCGCCCGATCTTCACGTTTCGGCCTGGTATTGGCTCCAGATCTGCCCGATCCGTTCGCAGGTCTCACGACACATTGCTTGTGGCAGATCGACCGCAACGGCCTTTTTCAACGCCAAACGGACCTCGTCGATCTCCTGCACTCACTTGCGAAAAACTCACCAAACTGGGCCATGGAAACTATAGGAATCGTGGAAATATATGAACCTGTTAACAACATGTGAAGAACAAATCAATGACCTGGGCCTGAATTCTATCAGTTGGGATCATGTGCAAAAGAAAATCCATCTATTTGGTATGTACATTGCAAACCAATGATCATAGACACCCAGGAGCATCCAAAGAGGTAAATGCACAGACTACGATAAACCACACACCTGCTGATTCCTACCGCATGTACCCAGTGAATTCAATTCATTTCAGGAGGCATGGTGACGCCTGCAATCAATTTCAGGATTATCATATTCCCAGATCACCAGGTGGAAATAGGTAGGTTTGAACCAAGTTGCGTGGAAGAAATCCTTTTTGTTGGCCACGATCTCATCGCTGCCCTCCTCAATATCTGCAAGCTCTTCCTCAGGGCACGTATATGAAAGACCCAAATTTAACCGGTCCACATTTGCATCAACATCCTGATCACGTAAACATTTTATTCGATCCTATTGGCTTTAACATCCTGCTCGTTTGCTTCGCTGGTATTTCGGTGCGACCAGGTGCGTCTACTGGAAAGTCGACTTGGTAACCCGGGTACGCCCAGATTCCATGCATTGCCAGCCCAAGACTTGGATAGTTTTAAGTTTCAAGGATAAAATGCATAGATCCCACATGATCCGAACTATGAAATCCAACTGTGCAGGGAATTTTCGGCAAAGCATCTCACCACGGTTCGAGGATGTCCCAACCTTCTGAAGAAACCGAAAGGGTCCAAACAACTTTGTTGATATTGTTACCTTGTGGAGTAAGGTCATCAACACAACAGAGTTATTGATATCTAGTGGCATTCTACACCCACGTTGTGCAAAGTTAAAAAGTTGTTTTCTCTGAAACGTCAAGTCAAAAAATACATGCGACACTTTACCCTTTTTGAGGATCTGTTAAAGTGGATACAGGCACGGTCCCGGCACCTTGCCAGTGGGGGCTGGAAGGTTCAAGTAGTGCCCGGGCAAGCCGGGGGCGGAGGTTTCAAAATTCTGAAAGCAGCCAGCTCTCCTTTTCAAGCTGTTCTGAGCCACTGTGCATGGCGGTCATGGAACATGCATTCAACTGCATCTGTACTGTATTGCATATGACATGGAGGTGCTACTAAGTTTTCACACCCCGCCTTAGAAGTTTTCGTTTTAGAAAACTTCTACCTGTTTGCACCGCAGGACTGTTGTTAGTCCTTCTTGTCTTTCTTCTAGGTGCCTCTCATCTCTCAGTTGGCCTTGCGCTTGATGAAGCTCTTCCACCACCAGCGCTTCGTCGGCCACCATGTCGATCATCTTCATCATCATCTCTCGGAATTGGGAGTCGGTCTTGTGGGTCAATTGGATCATCTGCAGCATCATCAGATTCTTCTTCTTCGCCTTCACCTTCTCCATGATGCGTAGAACCTTCTGCAAAATAGTACCAGTCTCGATCTGATTCGAGCCATCCACGTACACTTTCAGCTGCATCAACCCAAAGCTGTGGTGAATTGCTTTGGAACATCACCAGCAAAGTTTGTAGGCTCTGTCGCAACCTCTGCAACGACGCCCTTTGCACTGGATTGGTACACGTAGAAATGAAATGTGCCAGATCTCGCGAATTGTGAACAAGAATTGTTTCGGGACCAACACCTTGCATAATGAGATCCCATCGAAAATCATCATATGCTGCTTCATCTCGGGGAACAAGACCAATGTTGAAATAGTTCGCAACTCCCCAAGAGTCCATCACGAAATTCACATCATCATCCGGTTGGGGAACTATTCGTCCCTTTGCACCTTTTGAACCTTTTGCACCTTTTCTTGTTGTTGTTGTTGTTCCATGTCGCGCTCTCTCTTCTTCAGCTTGACGAACCATTGCATCTGCTCGTTCATCTGCCAACCGTCGATCACGCTGTTGTGCTAAGGCTTTTGGCATAGACCTTGGTGTAGGCGTAGGAGTCGCCTCTCTTGACCTTGATCTTTCTGTCCATGGTGTCGCAGGACCATAGTGAATGTCGGCCCATTCATCGGGATCTGATACCTCGCACTGCGCTGACTGCACATACCGCTGGTACCGCTCTGAAGCGGTTTCTTCCATTTCTTCAATCCAATTCTCATCATCTTCTTCTGCTTCTCCATCAGCGCCACTGGCAGTAGCTTCTGCCAACATTGAACCCAATGAATCTAAAAGAACTGCTGCACCTTCTTCAGGAGCTAGTGCACCCGTAGGGATTGGTTCACCTTCTGCACGTTCAGTTCCTTCTGCAACTTCACCATGTTCTTCTGGGATTTCTTCGGGAGGACTTGAGCCATGAATGCCATTTCGGAAAAATGCTCTTGTTGGAATTGGCTCCATCTCGATGTCGCCATCTGTGTATTCATCTTGATCATCTTCTGAAACTTCTGGGTTTTCTTCTTCTCTTTCTTCATGAAACCAAACACCTGAAAATGGATTTTGACGTTCATGCACCTGCAAAGCTTTCTCGGCCCATTTGCAAGATTGCTTGTACTTCTCCAACTTCTTGGCCATCATGTTGTTCTTGTACATGAGGTACACCACCATCGAAGATAACACCAATGATGTCAAAGTCCACCATGCCGTGATAGTCCATGTTGTAGGATCCATCCATGAAGACAACACCAATGTTGAAGCCACCTCGCAACCTTGAAGACTTCCAGCCATGAGCATCGAAGTGATCAGTCTCACCATCTGCTTCACATTGCCATTAGACATGTGTCCACCTTCTGTTTCAAAACTGTCACTCACCAAACCAATCTTTCTCATCAAATATTCTCTTCTCTCACGTGACAACGGTTTTGTGTTCAGATCTGCAGGATTTTCTTTTGTGGATATCCTTTCAACCAGAAACCATTTCAACCGCATCGCTTGTTGGCTCCATAGAAGCCTTGTTGAAAGATGCTTGGCTCTTCCAGGACCAAGCCGACTGAAAAAGCTTTGAGCACTCGTTGAGTCAAGCCTGAGTGAGTCGCATCTGCACCTGTTGGTTGTTACTCAGACCTCCTTCATCACCAAGCAAAAACTGCAAAAATTGTTTCACCATGATTCCTTCGACAAGGAGTCCTGTCGCAGCAAGGATTTCAGCCTCCATCGATGACAATGAGATTGAGGCTTGAGCACGGCTATGACTGTGAATGCAACAGGAGTTGAGGAAAATGAGACCAGACGATGTCGAACGTCTTGTTGTTTTGCAGCTTGCCCAGTCACTATCGCTGTAAAGCTCAAGTTCATAGGGATGCCCATCTTTTCTTTCTTCCAAACCATTCCATCTGGTGAGCGTTGATGAAAACAACTCGGCACATGGGTAATGCATGCGCATGTCCTGGGTCTGCATGAGGTAGCTGCCCAGCTTCTTCAGCGCACACAATGATGTCTTTGTCGGTCTCCCCATGTAGCTCGCCAAAACACGAACTGTCTGTTGGATGTACAGCCTCTCCTGTGCAATGTAGAGGCAAATTCCCAACGCTGATCGGTAGATCTTGCTTTCTTTCTCATCCAGGTACTCTTTCATGGGAGTGAGCTCGGCATCGAAGACATTCAAAGCATTGTGGTGAGGAACTGTCTTTCCCCGCCTGCTTGTGATACCAAGCAACTCAGCAAGTTTCGGAATGTACTTGCTGTTGGGAGCAATGTAAACTCCATCTTCTCCAATTTCAATCTGCCGCTTGAGGTAAAACAACTTGCCTGGTTCTTGAACTCCATAAGGACCATCCTTCTTCAGCGTCAACTTCTCAGACAATTTCGCGCAAACCTCTTCAGCATCAGCCTTGTTGGCCACCAACAACAAATCATCAATGTGAGCAGAAATGTAAATCTCCTTCTGGCGATGTTTGAAAACGGTTCCTTGCATGTGGGCAAAATCAAGTTCTCCAAGCAAAGTGGTAAGATGGAAATTCCATCTCATTGCTGCGTTCCTTTGCCCTGGCAAACATTTGCGTAGCTGCCAAAACATCAAATTTGCATTTCCACCTGCTGCTCTCACCCAATTGGGTACGGCAATGACCACATCTTCTTGTTGTTGCACCATGAGAAAAGCATCGCTCACGTCTAATGCGCACAGCATCAAACCTTTCAGCAACATCATGACAATCAACACCTTCACCATCAGTTGTTGGACTGAATGTTTCTTCTGTTGAGGCACATTGCCCACGAAATTCTCTGGCCACCATTCTCGCACGTCTTGTCCAGCAGCCAGATCGATACCTCCAGTCTCTGACAAGTTTTGTGTCCAAATGAAGTGCTTGTTCAACGTCAACTCCTTCTTGGACATCACCAATCACATCAAGCTTTCTCAAACGCTCCAACTCTGTGAACATCGCTTGCTTGTCCAACCATGCAAGTTCTTCCGCACAAACATTGGGAGGACCAGCTTCCTCATTGTGAAAGCCACGACGCTTCTTCTCCTCTGGAGAAATTTCAAACTGCGAAAATTCACCATCCAACAACTGATCGTTCACGTCCCAGTCCCATGTTTCAAGAGGAATGTTGATCTCAGGTTCATCTTCCTCGTACAACTCAATCTCCTCGGTCACCTGGCGCACACGACCACTGCCAGATGCTGGACTTGCAGAAACTTCACCTGCAAATGTGGGACTGTACATCTCGGTCTTTTGCTGTTTGGACTTCTGTTGCTCAGTTGCAGTATGGTCAAACTTCACAAACTTTGCTGAACTCGATGATTGCTTTTCTGTGCTCCTCTTGGTTGCTTCAGCTTCAGCCACACGCTGTCTCACACCAACTGGAAGCTTGAGTTCGGTTTCTCTGTCTCTCTTCTCAGTCGCTTGAATCAGCTCATCCATCTCTGCATCAGTGAAAGCCACAGCACCACCAGTTTCTCCTTGAAGTTCATGAGGAGGAACATCGGCAGGATTTGACATTGCCCCGCCTTTGTGGGAGTCCATTTCCTCTTCTGCGTCTTCATCTGGGTGTTCTTTGGCATATTGGAGTACTGCTTCACCTTCAGGATCATGTTCAGCTTGCACGCCGTGTGATGAGGTATGAAGAACAGGAACAGGATGTACTGCTGGTCTGGAGGGTTGAAGTGATGTTTGTGTGCCACGTTTCATATCCCATGGTCCAACTTGTAAAGCAAGAAGTGCTGCTGCGTCCCAATGCTCTGCAGTTTTGCGCACGGCCTTGCTTCTGATGATCTCGTTCTCGCCAACGGCCACGATGTCATGGTCAGCCTCGTCTTTTGTCAGCCAACATCCTTTTCTCCATTGACATTGATACTTCTGTTGAAGACTGTCAAGTGCATAGACCTCTTCACCAAAAGCACAAACACGACCTTTGTATGGCCTTCCACGCACAGCCATGTATGCCGTGATGCCACTGCTCGATGTCAAATGATATCTGTTCAGCAACCATCCAGCATGCACCATTGCCCATCCTCTAAGTACATGATCTTCTGCCAACTTCATCTGCATCTTGTCCTCGATGTAGGCAATGAGACATTTGCCCTGAGCACGCACAGTTTGAATTGACCTCTCTTCTAAGCTTGTACGTGACTTGGAGTACATCTTGCCAGGTTGAAGTACCATTGGAAGACCTTGGTTTGAGCGTATCACCTGAGCCATTTTGACACCTGCTGCAAGCACTGGTTCATTGTCATATGAAACTTCGATCGTGTCAAAGTAGGACAAATTTGACAGAAACCGGGCTATGATTGCACCAATGACCCCAGCATTTTTGTTGCGCAATGGCTCCACACCAATGTACTTCGTCCAAACATCAACCATCAGCAAAACACCCATGCTGTTTGGCATTGCAAAAAGATCAACCTGCACTGTGGGAAATGATCTGCTGGAACTTTCATCTGGAGGAGTTCTGTGTTTGTAGTTGCCTCTGGATTTGGCTTGAACACAAAATGAACACCAAGCTCTAAACGGCAAATGGGTCACCTCGTGCATCTTGCGCTCCATTGCACTCGGTTGTTTTGGTGCATCTGCAAACCTGGGTTTGGGATCCAGAGCTTCATACTCCTGTCTTGCAACTTCCAACGCACTCATCTTCAAAGCAGTGAGATGTGCTTCTTTGATTCTTTGGAAAATCTTCTGTTTGGAACCAGATGCTGAAACACGTAGATATCGAGCTGCCTGTCGCAATCTTTCCACTGAAGATCTTGCTGTCAGTTCCATCTCTCCCACAACAATCTTGTCAGCTGCTTGCTCTTCGACCAAAACAGGACCAAGCTGTTGAAATTCAGGGATGTCGCGACCTTGAATACCTTCATCTCCATCTTCAATGTCAGCTCCTTCAACTTCTTCACCTCCTGAAGCAAGAGGCGTTCCAGGCTCGTACATGACTTCCAACTGCTGTCCACCTTGATCGAGAAGACCACCAAAGTCGACCAAGTTCTGATTCACCTTAGAAACAATGGTAAGAATTGTCACCGGTTCACCTCCAGCATATGTGTCAACTTCTGCAATGCGTCCAAATGGTTCATCCATTTCCAGAAACCTTCTACTCACCTCAACAACACACCAACCATGATCTTCATCTGAAGTGGATTTCCGTTGAATGAGTGTCGTTCTGTACTTGTAGTTTGCTGGCCAAACCAAAGTAGGATCAACAAAGTTCTCACCCACAGAACGCATGAAAGGATTGCCTTCAACAGTTGTTTCCCATTGATTGTTGCGCAGGACTTCTGGCCTGAATTTCTCTTCCAGCTCAACAACTGCTCGAACCATGGAAATTTCAACATCAGGAACATCTGCTGCTTCCACACGACAAACTTCTCCATGAATTGCCAGTGAATTGCGTTGATAAAACACTGGAACCTTCAACGTGTGATCTGGAGATTCCAACATTGGACCATTTGTTGATTGGGAAACAGACCATCCACCTCGGTAAAGTTGACCCAAGCTGAGGATGCATGACTTCACACTTCCAGAAACCACAAATTGCGTTTCCAACTCAGCCTGACTGCCATCTTCGTCTTGCACCACCAAGCTAGCTGTCTTCACACCTGCAACTTGTAACTGTTCACCTTGACAATCACGCAACTGAACCTTGGTCTTGTCCACGGGACCATCAACCTCAATGCCGCAGGAGACAGGTAAAAGAGAAACGTCTGATCCACTGTCGAGGATCACCACATTCTTTGGCTCTCCACTAAACCAACCATCTGAAACCATTCGAACATCAGAGCTTGAAGATGCAAAACTGGCAGGAATTCCATAAATTCTTCTAATTGATGAAGCTGTTGAACTTGTAGGAGGATAGCTACTGGCAGGAAGAGAACGCTGTTGTGTTCCACTTGGAGCAAACGGCTGTTGGGCTTGAGCTCGAGGTTGTTGAGTGCTATTGGCATTGTTCACAACCTGATTGGCCATCCTGTTTGGACATTCGCGGCTCCAGTGCCCATATTCTCCACACAAATGGCACTGCTGAAAATCAACTTGTTTGCCTTTGCCACGTCCAGACTTCTTGCCACCATGTTTGGACTTTCCTTTGAACTTACCTTTTGACTTGCCCTTGCCTTTGCCCTTGTTTCCTCTGCCTTTGCCGCGTCCACGTCCACGGCCTTGAAATGCGTAGTTACCAAAGCTCCACCAGCTTTTGCCTTTGGATTTGGATTTGCCTTTGCCTTTGTAGTTCTTGCCTTTCTCGTTGTAGACCCTGTCAACTTCCATGGGAACAGGACCATTGTTATTGCTGCTAGAACTCTCTGGAATTGGATTCAAAGATTTCAGCACAGATTCTGTTGTCCAGCTCTTTGAGGCTTTGTCGAAGTTGAGAACTGCTTCTCGAAGTTGTCCATAGCTAGTGGTTTCACCAACTGTCAACTGCAAGTGTTCTCTCAACCTTGATTCTGAACATCTGATCAACGTTGCTGATTTGAGCTCTTCAGGGTATTGTTGACCTGAAAGTTCCTCGAACTGTTGCACCAGGGATTCATACGTCAGCACATTCTCAAGAGCGGTCTTGGTGGATGAAAAACTTGGATACGATGCCAACGCTTGAGCTATGGCCAAGCTTCTTTGTCTGCTAGGTGGTTCATATTCTGCAATCACTGCGCGCCACAACCTAAATACATCTCTTGATTTTGCAAAACTTCTCACAAGTCCACTGCAACGTCCTCTCAAGTAGGATGTGAGCACCGCATAGAGTTTTGTGGAAAGATCCATCTCTTCTGGGCTGTAGGGTTTGAGATCTTCTGATGGTTTCAATTTCTCTACTTCCTCAAATGCCTTCTGAAATCGCTGATCTCCAAAAGACAACCACGAGCAAAATCCAAACTTCCACTGTGGAAAACCCTGAGGATCATCACCTGAAAATGGGTCAGGATTCTTCAACACCCTTGCGGCCATCGACAGTCCAGATTGTGTAGGATCGCCTGAACTGCTGCTAGATGTACTTCCAGCTGCCATCATGTTCAGCGCTTTCTCTGCTGCTGCCGCTGCTGATGTTGCCGCTTCAGCCAGAGTTGCCATGCGTTGTAGGAATTGCGCTTCACCACCTTCCATGGCCTGACTGTGGTAGGCCACTGACGCAAACACCAATGCCTTCAGCTGCAACTTCATTTGTCCACGTTGAACTCCACAACGTCGCTTCCCCAATCTGCTTGTTGGGGTTCTTGTCACCAGCAGGCCCAAGTGGCTCATCATGTAGCAAATTGCCATCGTTGCCAACCAGCTGCTCCAAACCATCTCGACAGACATGAGTTCGAAGGTTTGCCTCATGCCAATCATCACCATTGCCACCACTGCAGCGCAAAACTCCATGAACTTGGTGGAGTCAAAGTTCATAATGGTGTCATACACATTGATGTAGGTTTCCTTGACGTAGTTCACCATGTAGCCCATCACCTCGAACTGCATGTTCATGAATGCCATGCCAAACTCAATGTAGGGCTCGAAGGTCACATTGTCCAGGCTGTAGTTGTTCAGGGATGCCAACTCACAGCATTGATTGCATTCGACACCAACTGCCTTCTCCACGTTCATCTCAATTGCAAAAGCACCGCAATCTGAAGTACAAATCACTCCAGGAAAACTTCCATGCTGGATACAGGTTGCTCCAGCATTGTCACATTTCTCACATGCCAGTTCCTTGCACTTGCCTGGCATCTTTTCCTCAGAGGCGTTCACGCTATTGCGTCTCCCAAGGACTTGAACCTTGAGCTCTCCCAACATCTCAGCC